CTGCACATGTGAAATCAATTAGATTCATATTATCGAAATTAGATTTATATTTGTTTTACGAATCACTTCGCTCTTGCAACATTTTCTTGCAACTTTTCAAGAATTTAATATCGACAGAAATACTGGCACTTAGCAATGGCTTAAATATATCTTTAAACTAGAAATTTTTTAACTAGAAAGCAAGCAAAGTATTTGAGAAACAGGAACCAAAAAACCATCATTTCATTCGGTTCGCTTTGATTTACATAAACGGTCAGAAAGTTACAAATGCATCAGTCCGAGCATTGATTATTCAGATATCTACGGATGTTCGAGAATAAGAAAAAGGAGAACGACTACAGCCAGTGTCCACTTAGTGCTCGCTACCATGAATTTAGTCGGGACGAATATTGGCGCGCTACTTGGGTGACCAGTGCCAACGAAACTTCAAGTACCCGCGTTATTTAAAGGGATACGTACATTCGAGTTCTATCGTCGTCCACTGGAGATTCCATCCGCCATAAAACGGAGAAAAGTGGAAACTTCCCTTTCGAGAAAAGGAGAGAGCGAGGAGATATTGCAGAGGTCTAAAACCGTCCCGTTCTTCCTTTTTTTCCTTCCTCACTTCTGTATTCCACACCCCTTTTTTTCCTCTTATTTTTTTTTTTTTTTTTTTTTTTTTACTTAAGGTCGGAACTAGCGCGTTCGGATTCCGGCGCGGTCGGTAGAAAATTTCGAGTTTACCCCGAATTTCTTGTTGATCTTTCATCTCCCAGCTCTCGAGAGCGGCGAGTTATCGGAAATTCAGTGAAGTAAAAAGTTACTAGATTCGTGCGATAAATCTAGTTATTCGATCGCCAAGTGGTTCTCGCTAGATAAGAATAAAGTTTCGCAGGAATACGCCAGAACTGCCGTTGACCTGGCGTATAGAACTTCGATTTAGGCACGTCCGCGTAATCAGCTGCCTAATGAGCCGAATCTAGAACTACAGGCTGTTTCCATAATGGCGGATCTTCGACCAGGCACGTCCGTAGGATCATAAATCACAAACCATTTTCGAAGAGCGACAGAACCAGCGAATTTAGATATTTTCTTACCGGCACAAATTCTTGTCCGATCCGGAATACCGAGATATATGAATCGATAAAAGTTTAGAGGAAATTTCTACAGAATTTTTAGTCGCTGTAATACCGTCGCTACTGCGCCGCTGTGCTCGCTACTTGAAAGTAGTTACTTACTTTTATTGCGCGCGTAAACTGACACGTAATTCTGCAAGCGCAGCTCTCGAAAATGTTGAACTTTATACATATCGGTTGTATGTGAAATTGCGACTATAATACGTTGGTAAATAGCCCTCTCAAGACTGTGCAAGTCGTGTAATCACGTTAGGGTCAGGAACGTATTAAGACTTTAAATGTGGACGACGCATGAGTCGGACCACTTAAAACAGAAACGCCGGGAAAGCCTGAGGAGTTAAATTGGAACATCGTACTCAGTGGAATCAAATCAGTTTGGATCGGTATAGCCCAATCTCGAGAAGGAATATTTCGATTAAGGTACTAAGAATTTGCAAAGAGAAAGTAAAGTCAGTTTTAGAAAGCAAGCCGTTGAATAGTTCTAAGAATTATGATTTCTCAAAAGTTTTTGTTGCATTTCTGCATGGAAAATCTGATATTTATTATCACAATTCAGAAACTAGGATAAAGCCTCAACTTTATCTATTAATTTTTGTTAATAAATATTATTTATATATATACATATACTCACACAATTATATATATATATAATTATATATATTCTATATATAATTATATATATAGAAGCTATTCTAGATCTATTATATATTCTATATATAATTATCTATTATATATTCTATATATAAAGATGTATTATATATTCTATATATAATTATATAGCTCATATCCTCTTTATTTACATTTTTAAATTTAGTATTTCACTAATATAATAAAACTTTCATTAATGCAATAAAAGTTTTTAATTGAATTATCTTATGATACTAATTGGAATTAGGATTTAAATTGAACTGAAACAATGATTCAATTACTATATATATATATATATATATATATATATATATATATACACATATAACGGTATGATATGATATAATACTTTTAAATATAATAGTTTTTATATTATAGATATGACCAAAGTATTCATTCTGTTCACATATTGAATACCTATATCATATTTGTGTAAACGTAATATATATGATATATATATATATATATATATATATATATATATATAATATCATTTATCGTATATATATTATATGTTATATTAAAATTAATTAAAGTTCAATATGATAAAAATCCTATACAGTTTAATAAAAATCATATATAGTTATTTTCCATCTAGTATCATTCTATCTGAATCAACTTCAGTTTTGTTGTTTTACTTTTAAACCATTTTTTTCTTTTAAGAAGTTTCCGTACAAAAATCATCGCTATAGATCTACTCTAGCTTTTCAATTTTTAACTTACATATTTTGATAGAACTAATTCAAAATATTGGAAGCAATTCTTTTAACTGATCCCTGACATCTTGAATCTCGATATCTTATCTCGCTTATTCGAAAACTGCGTCCATTGGACAGACAAGTATTGACAGAAAAGCAGTGACTATCTCTTGTGTCGCTTAAAATCCAATATAAAATTAATATTTTGCCGGAAGCAATTTATTACGGTTCTAAAGGAGGATATGAGTTATAGATCCAGCATCTTCTTAAAATACTATGTTGTATGTATGTTATATTTGCATCTTTCCTACCGTGTTATAAATTATTTATAAAATAATTAATAATATAATAAGTTTAAAATTAATTTTTTTGATTTTTCAGCATAATTATTTATATGAACCCAAATTTAATTATTTCACTTTTCCAAGTTAAAAGTTTATTTTCCAATAATTTAACATAATTAATAAATAAAACATTTAAAAAAGAATTATTTCAAGAATAGAACGAGAATAAATTAATATTTTTAAAGGATTTACATTTTTATAATTTAATTAATCTACAAAAATTTATTTAAGTTTATAATATATAATAAACAAACTCTCATGTTCTGAGTAGGATTATAAACTGCAACAATTATAGACCAATAGATATATATTTTTTTATATGATAATATGATTTATCTGCATATTTGATATATAAAATGCTTGCTAACTCTTGAAAATTTTGCAAAATTTAGTATGATGTATACAATCCGTAAGCAAAACTATTATATTATTATATTAAGTACATTAAGAGATATAAATAATATTTACACATATTTATTGTAATAATTATGAAACAATAGTTTCGTATTTGATATTCAGATTAATTTTTTATAAGAAGAATAGTATCAGAGAAATAAATTAATAAACTCAAATTAGAAAAACCTTTGCATATAAAAGTTTTTGAATTATCTAAAATATCCTCTCGTATATATATAAAATAAAATGGATTTTACAACCTTGAGATAATATCATATTAAATATATGATCATCGTATCACAATAACAGAGACATTGACTCGTTACATCTTATCGTTAATTCTCAATTATTAATCCCCGAAACGATCGGCGATCAAAGACGGGAAAACTATTAAAAGTTCCCAATTCCGCGAGCGTAAAAAAAGAAGCGCAGATATTTCGATCCTTTTCTTTTTGCGAAATAAGCATTCTAGAACAAACAAAATTTTTTTAAAGCCGACCATAGACGGCAGCGACGAGCAAGTTGTGCCGACATTCCGGAGATACTGAGAATAACGTTCGCCAAGCAATAAAGAGATAATGCCGAGCTTTGAGAAAAGAAGAGAACGTCCCTCGGTAAGTTCTTAACGGGACGTTCTGCCGTTCTGAGAGAACCTTCTATCTCCGAACGAGGCAATTACAGGCCGTGGTTTACCGGTCGCGTTTACACCCGTAGCTTGCCTCCACCGTATAGGCTAAGCTTCACGGTACGATCGTAAACTTAGCTGACGGGGTTCAACCTCTTTGGCATTGGCGTTCGATATCTCGAGCAGCTCGGGCGTCCTGCTTCGACCACGTCGTGAAACCTGGTCGACCTCTTTCATAGTATCAGTAAAAGTAATGCCGAGGAACGAGTGGGGAGGTAAAGGATACGTGAGAGATCTATCGCGCGCGTCGGGGGTAGTAGATACTTTCAATAATGGCTTTCCAAGGCTCCACATGCGTGTTGTTTCTTATATTGCTATCGGGATCATATACGATCACCGTTGGATGTCGCAAACGGAATAATCATTTTGCCGCGCACTGATCGTTTTTTGATGAATGCTTCCGTATGCACCAATCGGTGCTCATTCTTTATGCACCAATCACGATTACAAGCGAGCGGAACTTGTGCATCAAGCGGCACAATTGTGCCGCATTGATTGATAATAAAATAAATGTAGCAAAATGTAGCACGCGGTGTGCATAGCTAATATTTCCTGAGTCGTTTTCCTAATTAAGGAATTATTTTCCTTATAATTTATAGTAATGAAACATTATTTTATTAATGCGTAATGAATTTTAAGCGCAAAAACTGAGAAAAATTGATACGTCGACGTCGGTTAAAATAGGTTGTGATATAGCGAGCGTTATATAGTAGATAAAGTAAACTTGTTAAACTTCCATACAATTTTGAATTTTATATTCACTAAGAGTAATTAATCCCCCGGCATGAACAAAATCAAAACATGGATAACCTAGTAAATATAATCTAAAAATTCGCAATACAAAACTCGTTAGCTCATACTAAAATTGAGTTCTCACAATAAATGTTTTTAAACCATTTCATATTTTTTCCGATACAATATGCAAGAATCCTGTACAAAAACTCATTTACCAACAATTTCCATTATGTTTCTATTGTGAATCAAGAAAGATAACTTATGTATTCAGGAATTTGTCGTAGCTGCAATTATTAACGCTTGACTCGATTTACTTATACTTATCGATATATTCTACAAATGAACGGAGATTAAGATGTGCCATCTTTTTGTTTCACAGCGAACGCAAAGCCGCTCACGTTCGATGAAGTTTACAATCAAAGTAGTCCGACCAACTGCACGGTATACTGCGGCGGATTGACCAATGGTTTAACAGAAGAACTTATGCAAAAGACCTTTTCGCCTTTCGGATCCATCCAAGAAATTCGAGTGTTTAAGGATAAAGGCTATGCATTCATCAGGTAACATTTTAACACTTTAAAAATATTTTAACATATTTAAAAAACCGATACATTCATATATTAATGTACATACATATATTCTCACATTTGTTTATCACTGCTCAACAAAAAAAAAAACAGAAAATCATTTTTTAAAAACATTTCTTAAGATTCATATCTATCGTTAAATTTTAAGTAAAAATGTGAAAGAAAATTTTTTTCTTTTCTTGTACATGTTATACTCAGTTGTGGAAATCTGTTAAATCTAAAAATAGATTCTCATTTTAAATATCTTATAGTTTGTCCTCGTCATATGCAAAAAAAAGAGAATTGATAATTTTAAATTTTAATATCCCCGAAGACTCTATCAATAACATTGTTGAAATGCACGACAGATGCATGTCATGAACAGTAGCTTTTCAAATTGTCAATGTAACCTGAAAGGGGAAATTCCCTAAGGCTATAACTATAGATTACTGACATTCAGAGATTATCGAATCAGAGATTGTCATCTACTATTTCGTGAACGTAGAATGCACTTTGGAATTGACTTCCGAAAACTTAATCAAACAGTTTCCATCTGCATAAAATGTGTGCACTCATAAAATATATATTTATAAAAGTAATACATTCGTAAATGTATGATATTAAATATATATGATTAATGTTTGTCTCAATCTTTCTCAAATAAAATAAAGCAAAATAAATTCTCGAGTAAAATAAATTTTATATAATACATTTTGTGATAGTAACTATTAATAAAATTAAATAAATAAGCTACAACATTAATAATCATTATTAGGCTAATGAGATATTGTGTCTATTAATACATCATCATATTATCATGATGCAATAAATTACTGCTATGTTGCGATTTTTTTACAATAAAATTATTGAAAATCACAGCTTTGCTCTAGTTATGTTCTTTTTATTTATATTTATCATAAAATAAATATTACTTTAACATAAATTATATATTAATATTGATGATATATTGAATACATTATGCATGATTCATATAAAATTTTATTTAATAAATTTAATTTTTATTTTATTTTATTTTACGAAAAATTTTGTATATTAAAAATAATTGGAAAAAATTAATTATAAGTCTAAATTATTAAAAATTTCATTTATTTTAATTTTCTTAATTTAAAACAGAAATATTTTTAATTAAAATTATTCAGTAGTTTTATACTTCTTTATATTCTAATTTTAAAAATCATTTACTTAAAATAATTTCAAAAATTCACTCTTTTAATTCTTTTATAAAAATGTGTATAAATTTTACTATCATTAATGTATTACAACTTCTTTTTTCTATATGTTTCACGGATTATTATTATACATCTTAATAAATTGACATAATTGAAAGACTTTTTATTGCATCTGTTTAAATTACAAAATGATTTATCGATCATTAGAGATTCTACAAAGAATATTTCAGGCTAATTCTCTGAATGTGAAGAATTAAATAAAACTTTAGTATGAAACCTTTGAAAGCATTTCACTGATTATACAATCAAAGTTCATTAATTACTCAAGCTTTTTACTGTCTTATAAAAAACAAAATGTAAAATAAAAACTTAATCTATTGCGATACATTATAAATTTAATCGAACTTTTATTTAAGTGTATATTTCTGGACGATATATCATAATAATAATAACTTAAATTTTTTCTTTACTCCCTGAGGTACTCAAATATTTGATTCATTTACATATCGAACATAATGATATTTATCAGAATATTGGACAAGCTAATACATAATCATCTCTAATAAATTTCTAGAAATAAATGTATATTTATATAAGCTATCTATCTTGAATAAAATAAAAAGATAATCGTCAAATATAATGTTAAATATTATAACAATCGATTTAAAAAAAATTACATCATTAAAGTAAATTTATTATTTGTATTATTTGTCAAAGCCATTACGCACTAAATTGCCATATATGTATCATGTGTGGTTGATGATATGCTATCAGGTAAAATCAATGTATATACTTATATAAAGAATATATGTATCGTACATATAATATAAAGCGATTGGATTTGAGCGTGTGACATACTATATAAGTGGTTATAGCAAGACGAGAAAATTTTATTCAAAATCATGAACGATGATTGGTGCTAGCGTAATGCGAATCATCAAACGAGATTTTACGAAATATTAGGAAATCGCATGAATAGTGCATCAATACCTATCGTCGCCTGTGATTTATGGCACGAAACGCGAGAACATGTCGGGTCAATGGCAGCATGTCGGACTCATCAAGCTCGGATCCCATTTCATTAATCTACCCATTACATCCATGCAGATCATATATTTCAGTTCAACTCCACGTATCCGACAAGATCAGTTATGTATGTTTCAAAAACATTAAAAAAGAAAATTGTAAAGTTGTGAAAATTGTAATAAAGAATATTGTAAAGTTCAAAAAATAAAAATGATATTTTATATACTATATAGATTTGCACATAGGCAAAAAATAATGATCACAATTAAGAACGTGATAAATTTGACTATCGTAAACACGCGCCGATATCTTCAAAAACTAGAGAAAGAAAAATCGAACAATTGAAGAAATCAGCTAAGCATTTATATCTTTCGAAAGCGAATTCAGCGCTCTAACGACGGCTCGGGATCCGTGACCTACCTCAGAAAAGACTGCCGAGAGCGTGGGAGGGTTGCTCTAGAACGAACGATAAGAGAGAGGAGGAGGGAAACAGAGACGGAAGAAGAAGACAAAAAACCCTTTCTTATATACGTATACCCCCAGCCCTCTTCCCTACTCTACTTCTTATCCTTTCTCGCGCACGTTGCCTTGATATCATCCTCGCCCGTCCTTATCCGATACGATAGCTTCCACCCGCTTCGTACGTCCGCCACAGTTCCGCCACCCCTAGACAATGTCCATCGTTCAGATATCTTCCGTCTAATTGCTCTTCCTCCCTCCGCTATTCTGTAGCGTGGAAACCCGGAAACGAATATCTCGGGATGACGTATGGACTTACTGCGAGGCACAACGAGGAAGCAAGAAAGTGGATAAGGGAAGGAGATCTTTTCTTCTCCTGTGAAAGAAAGAATCTTATCTGCTGCTGGTTATCGCTCGAGGTTCGGTTTTAGAGGAAAGGGGGAGGGGAGGGGTTGCTGACGATGACCATCGTTCGTCCTACTCGATCGTGGATGGAAGCTCGATAGATGGAAAGGGGCAAACTCCTGGATAGAGCCGCCATTGTGCAATCTTGAACGTGAACGTTAAAAGTGACCTAATCCTCGATAAATTCAATAATTCCCTGCAATGCTCGTTTAGCTTGCCGAATTCGTCGTGCTCTAATCACGTTTTCGAAAACGTCCTTGTCCTCTAAGATGAACTCATTTACCGCGAAATGACAAATTTAAATAATTGAAGAGCATGCTATATGTACACTTGAAATGCATTTCTATATTTAAATATCCATACAACAGAAACCGTAAATACCTATATATCTAGCAATAAAAAAACACAATGCATACTTTGTTCTCTCATTTTCACATTCTAATTTTTTTAAATACCTATTATTTGTTTAAGAAGCAAAATATCGAAGCATAATCCATCTATATTTATTACAATAACAGTAACATTTATTAATCTAAAAAATATATGCTATCCTAACAAATTAGAAACTAAACTACATTTACGCGTAACCAGTGTGTAGACTTTAACATTGAATACTTGCATCTACAGTAATCTAGATTCGTCGAGATTCACAATTACTGTGCTCATTCGTGCGCGCAGTAAACTCGCATAAATTAAATTGCACTATTCGCAGAGACCATTTCGTTAAGCTACCATAATAAGGTCCAGTTTAACTCGTGGAAGGAGTACCTCATTGCTTCGGAGATTTTTCTTTTTGTACACACTATCGCGCGCGGCACCAACATCAACGTCGGAAAAGGCACAAAAGACTTAAATCCCCTTCTTCTTCGATTTCAGGTTTTCTACCAAGGAATCGGCCACGCACGCCATCGTAGCAGTACACAACACAGACATCAATGGCCAAACAGTGAAGTGCAGTTGGGGCAAGGAGAGTGGAGATCCTAATAATGCTCAACAAACTGGACAGGTAAACTCTCTTCTTTATCTTTTATTTTTATTCTTTCTATCGGGAGGACAGTTTCGACGTGAAATTCTGTTCTCTGTGTTTCTCAACATTTACATCGCTACTCGTATCAAACCAGAGAACTTTTCTACCTTCTTTCATGAATAAACATTGCCGCTGATTTTCTTTCCGACATAATGCATGAGAAGAAAAACAGCGACCTTATGCGCATCAGTGAATATAAGTCACAAGCGCCTGCATTGTAGAAAGGATTATTTGAAAGAGAATAATATATACTGGCATTAATATCAAATTTGATCTCTAATATCTACGTTAGAGTGATGCAGCAGAATGTTCGATATACATATAGAACGTTCGATATAAAAGCTTACCGTTGTTATACGTGTTACTGAAACTAGCGCGCACTCACGTCTTCAAAAAGTGAAAGCGTTCGAAGAAAGAAGTAGTTACAAGATTCGATTACACGGCCAGTTCCTTCCGATTTCGCGCGGCTAAAGTGTCTCTATCGGTATATCGGTATATGGCTCGAAAGTCCGACGAAAGAATAAAGACGAAGAGAAAGAGAGAGATAGAGAGAAAGAGATAGAAGGACGAAGGAAGGAAGAGCAGACAGGGAATCGTGCAAGATTCCGGTCTATTCAGGTGCCTCTCTTCGAAGTGTGTCGGGCTGGGTCTCTTAGCAATTAGCTCCGTTAGGACGGGTAGCTACGCCCGATCTGGGAATGGTACCCGAAGTACTTCCCAAACCCGCTCGCACTCCTCGGTAGTACTTCCGTGCATCCATCCACTGCTACTCGGCCCGTGACATCGCTCTACTTGATCTCTATTCCCATAACGCGCTTCTCCCAGGGGAGCCGAGATATCAAGTTAGTACGTATCCTGCCATACCCTGTTCTCGTATTCAACGGAATCGAACTGGTTTGCGTGATATCCGAGTTCATCGTGCAGCTTTAACGAAGAGTATAATGGCTGCACATTTATTTCCATAAATCTCATTGAAAGCTAATTATTGAAAAACTGACATATATATATAGCTCCCTCCTTAACAGCAACATCGTTCTAATATTGTTTTCTAATTTAAGAATTTTTCGAGCTTTTTATCAAAAATTAAAAAAAAAGGGAATACATATAAACTAAATCAAATATTACTATCTAATTAAACATTTAATTAAAAACGTATATTTCGTACAAAATGATCTCTTGTGATAATTCGACACAAAATATAATTCAATTTAATTAATGAAAGGCTCGTATATAAAAACAAAATTAAACAATCATATATAGTAGGCCAACTAAACGAGCAAATAAATAAGATGTAAAATTTTTTTATTAATAGTTAAATCATTAAATTAACATTCCGTTACAGAATCGATATAAATTGTAAACGTTTCGACTGCACTACAGTCTTTATCAATACATAAAAATTAAATATTAAAATATAAAGTTAGATGTTAAAAATACAAAGTTAGTTAAATATTAAAATATAAAATTGAAACGATTCTTCGCTGTTGACCAATAGATATGCAAGGCGATTGGTCTGAGATGCCAAGTTATGCGACATTTGAGCATGCTACGGATATAATACGCGAATTAAATCAATGTCAGAAAATATTAAAAAATCTTTCAACTTACATTATCGTTTTAACAAGTCCTTTTCCCCGATATTTCAAGTGTGTGTTGCGAAGTCTGAATACCAAATGTCAAAATAGAGAGCGTGATGTATTTATTTATTACCAATGTTTTTTCTAAATTATGATTCAGCAAATTTTTTAAGTATGTCAAAATAACTACTGTCTAACAATTCGGTGTCTGTATTTAAATTAATTCCATTATTCTGTTCTTTAATGTGGATCATTTCAGATATTAGTCTTTTTTGGTAATTCTTTCATGATCCATAATTTTAATATTGTCCCAGTCAAATGTATGTTGTTCGTTTAGAATGTGTTCCGTGATAACCGAATGTCTAGCAGAGTCTAATTTAATATTATTTTATGTTCTTTAAGTCTCGTTCCTAACTGTCTTTTTGTCTGTCCGACATATGTGGCGTCACAATCGTTGCAATTCAATTTGTAAATAACATTAGAATTCGTGGGGCAATTATTTTTGTCCTTTTGAACTCTTATGAAGTCATTTAATTTTTTAATGCAACGATATCCTACCACTACGTCAGGTCTTCTTATTGCTGAAGCAACTTTCTCAGATATTGATTCTATATATGGTATGACAAAATATTTAATGTTAGTATTAGTATTATTAGTATCTGTTATATTGTTATTATTAGGCTTGTTAAATTTCTTAGTTGAGAGATTTTTTAATCTGCGTTTTATTTCTGTGAAAATTAGATCAAGAGGATAACCGTTGGATAGCAAAATGTTAATAGCTTTCTCTATATTTTTTGTGAAATTGCGGATGTGATAGTAATAAAGCTCTATCTACCAAGTTATAAATTGTTCCTATTTTATGACAAGTCGGATGATTTGAAAAAAATGAAAGTAATCTACCTGAGAATGTCTTTTTGTGATACCAATCTAAATAAATTTTGTTATCTATTACTTTGATCATTATGTCTAAAAAGCTTATACAACGATTATCCTCCTTTTCCAATGTAAATTGTAGTCTATCGTTATAATTGTTGAATTCGTTCAAAACATATGTAATATTGTCAGCGGGAAGTGCATAAAATAATGTCGTCTACATAACGGAAATAGAAAGTCATTTCGCAATTTAGATTACTAATTACCAATGTTTCCAAGTTCTGCATGACTATATCGGCAATGATCGGAGAAAGTGGGGAACCCATAGGAGTCCCATAAATTTGTTTGTAAGTTATGTTATTAAAAGTGAAAAATGTAGAAGTTAATATAAATTTTATTTTATAAATTTAAACAAACTAACCAGAAATGGTTTATTAATTTAACTGATAAAAAAATTCCCCCCAATGTAACCAAATCCTCTTACAATTGGGGGAGGGAATTTAGTCTCCCAGTTAACTTAAATAAAAGTAGATATACCCGAATTCATCAAAGAATAAGAAAGCAATTCTAACGGGATCCGAAAATCTCACTTCGATTCGTAATGCTGCCATTCCACAATTTTCATTATTTTTAAACAATAACGACAAAAAACGGACATACAAGAAAATTATTTCACAGCATAAAGACACAATTAAATTATGCAATCAAAATCCTAATATTTTATTTACCAGAGCAGATAAAGGCAGCATTACAGTCGCACTAGAAAAAGAAATTTTATATAAAAAAGTTGAGAGTCTCCTAGAAGACGATTCTACGTTATACCATAGTAAAAAAACAATCCAACACAAAAATAGAAAAAGACCTCAATATTTGTTAAAAAAATGGTTGAAAAAAGACTTCACAACAAAAAAGAATATTATATTATTTTCAAGCGACTCTCTTCTTCCTAAAGCTTATGGGCTCCCCAAGATCACAAGGAAAATATTCTTTTAGATATAGTTCCTCAATAAATACTTCTCTATATAATATTGCTTCTTTCTTTCATAAAATTTTAAAAGATAGCCTTCCTAGAGCGGACAGTTTGTAAATAACAGTTTTGATATATGCAACATTCTATCAGGGAAAACAATACAAGATACCGAAAATAGCTTCATTGGACGGTTGTTTCATTATTTACTAATGTTTCCGTAGATCTTGCATTAAACGGCATCAACAATAGATGGCATTTTATAGAGTCACACACAAAGATTCCCAAAAATGAATTCATAGGTATGATAAAATTTATATTAACTTCTACATTTTTCACTTTTAATAACATAACTTACAAACAAATTTATGGGACTCCTATGGGTTCCCCACTTTCTCCGATCATTGCCGATATAGTCATGCAGGACTTGGAAACATGGTAATTAGTAATTAAATTGCGAAATGACTTTCTATTTCCGTTATGTAGACGACATTATTTTATGCACTTCCGCTGACAATATTACATATGTTTGAACGAATTCAACAATATAACGATAGACTACAATTTACATTGGAAAAGGAGGATAATCGTTGTATAAGCTTTTTAGACATAATGATCAAAGTAATAGATAACAAAAATTTATTTAGATTGGTATCACAAAAAGACATTCTCAGGTAGATTACTTTCATTTTTTTCAAATCATCCGATTGTCATAAAATAGGAACAATTTATAACTTGGTAGATAGAGCTTTATTACTATCACATCCGCAATTTCACAAAAAAATATAGAGAAAAGCTATTAACATTTGTATCAACGGTTATCTCTTGATCTAATTTTCACAGAAATAAAACGCAGATTAAAAAATCTCTCAACTAAGAAATAACAAGCCTAATAATAACAATATAACAGATACTAATAATACTAATACTAACATTAAATATTTGTCATACCATATATAGAATCAATATCTTGAGAAAGTGCTTCAGCAATAAGAAGACCTGACGTAGTGGTAGGATATCGTTGCATTAAAAAATTAAATGACTTCATAAGAGTTCAAAAGGACAAAAATAATTGCCCCACGAATTCTAAACGTTATTTACAAATTGAATTGCAAACGATTGTGACGCCACATATGCGGACAGACAAAAAGACAGTTAGGAACGAGACTTAAAGAACATAAAAATATATTAAATTAGACTCTGCTAGACATTCGGTTATCACGGAACACATTCTAAACGAACAACATACATTGACTGGGACAATATTAAAATTATGGATCATGAAAGAATTACCCAAAAAAGACTAAATCTGAAATG